TGTTTTGGCCATTCTGGGTCCTTCATATTTCCATATGAATTTTAGGATCAGCCTGTCCATTTCTGTAGAAAAGCCAGCTGGGATTTTGGTAGGGATTGCATTACTTCTGTAGATCAAGTTTAGGAGTATTGCCATCTTAACAACATTAAGTCTTATCATTTTTTCTTTTGTTATTTATTGAGTATAAATTGATCTCATGCCAAATATATTGTTTTGAATCCTGATTTATTCTGCTTCATATGCTACCATAGGCATTTCCTTGTGTTATGAAAGATGCAACCACAATTTTACTGCTATGTAATATTCCATCGTTTGGCTCTACCACACAGGATTGTTGGTTGTTGGATAATCTATCATGGAATGTACTTTGTTCTGGGTTCCTTGTGGTGCAGGCTTCTTCCTACAGGCACAAAATAACAGACACTGGGAGGACTGGTGGCTCACAAAGGAACAGCCAAATATTAGTGTCAAAGTTGATTGACAAGTACCCCATGCTGCAGGGGGGGTACTTGTCAATCAACAAGTGGAGCTCACTGGAGAAGCCAACATTCTGATTAATGGAGAGCTGACCTGCCAGCCCACCTGGCAGCATCACCTTGATGGGATGGAATCAGGAAATAGGCTACAACAGGCTGCAGACACTGATAGAACATGTTTGTTTTAGGCATGTTTCTCTAGAACAGTGGATTTTTAAAACTAGCAGCATGAAATTAATGTTATAACTCAGTTCACCTAAGGTGGAAAGTTTCACTGAACAATGCCTTTTGTATCAGCCAGGAGAAGCTGGTTTGCTGCAGTAACAAACAACCTTGTATCTCAGTGGCGTAAGAGCTTTCTTTCTTTCTCTTTCATGCTACTTGTCTATCATGTAGCAGGAGTGCCCTGGAATCTAGGTTGCTGGAGGCTGCCCAATTCAGATCACTGCTGGTTTCAGTGGCAGAGGAGAGAGAGTGTGGTAGGCAGAAGAATGGCCCCTCAAAGATATCTACATCCTAATCCTTAGAACCTTTGAATAGATCATATTACAGTTCAAAGGAGAATTACAGTTGCAGAAGGAATTAAGGTTGCTAATCAATTAACCTGAAAATAGGGGGCCAAATGTATTCATTAGGGTCTTTAAAATTAGAAGAGGGAGGCAGAATAGGTTGGAGTGATATGATGTGATAAGAACCCAACTTGCTGTTGTGGGCTTTGAAGATGGAGGAAGAGGCCACGAGACAAGGAATGTGGGTGGCCTCTAGAAGCTGGAAAGGGTGAGGAAACAGATTTGCTCCTAGAGCCTTTGGAGAGGAACGTAGCCTGCCAACATCTTGATTTTAACCAAGTGAGGTAGATTTCGAACTTCTGAACTACAGAACTATAAGATAAATTTATGTTGTTTTAAGCCATTAAGTTTGTGGCCATTTGTTATAGGCTCCATAGAAAACTAATACAAAGGGAATATGGAATCATGTACTAGCTCTTAAATGCTCTGCCTAGAAATGACATGTGGCACTTCTGCTCATATTTCATTGGCCAGAGCAAGCCTCATGGACATGCCTAACTTCATAAGACTGAAGAAATTTGCCCAGCCTTATAGGGGAATGGAGGGTTGGTAAATATAGTAGTAGCTATTATACCCTTGCTATCTGCACCTCATGCTTACATCTTCTGTTCTAGTCTGTTAAAACAACAACAAAGTGCTGGTGGCAGTTCTTTAAGTTGATTTCATTATCGGCTAATGGGTTGTGACCACTAGTTTGAAAATCACTGCTCTATAGATTGCCTTCTGCCCATTCCTCATGGACCACATGACACACCCTAGGCAGAGCCGATTGGCTCAGGCGTGGGAACACCTGATCAAAGCTGACCAGTGAAATTCCTCTCCTGGGAATTTGGAATTGGGCCATTCAGCAGTTAACAGTGGGAAGCTCAGCAAGAGGCAGAGTAGAAACAGGGTCAGAGTGAGAGTTAGATGCAAGCCAAAATGATGGAGGAACAGAAAAGCCCTGACTAAGCAGACAGAGTTGGTCCACAAGAGACAATGGAGCAGCCGCACAGAGAGCAGTGCAGCTGGGAGAACATGCAGCCCCAGAGGGAGAGGTGGAGAGAGCGAGCAACCATCTGAGAGGCTGATGGCTTCCCCGTTTCTGGCTCCAGTGCATCCTGCCTGCGCATTCTTCCCGTGAGATTTTTGTCTCCTTATCATACCCCCTCCTCCTTTTCTTAAGCTACCCTTGGTGGGTTTCTTTCTGTTCCTTGTCTCCAGTGAGCCTCAATCAGCTAGAACATCACTGGTATTTCTCTTACGAGACCCAGCTTTGACTCTGAGAATCAGGCTTGCGGGGCATAGATGGGACTCAGGGGCAAACCAGACCCAGCCATCCCACAACCTGGAAGTTTGGCTTTGACCACAGTCTTGCGTGTTTGTGCTTGCTCTTCAGAGTGGACAGACAAGCCATCCGTGTGGCGCTGCACATGTAGGGGTCCCAGTGACCTGGAAGCACCTCCATAGGGGCCTTTTTTCTGACAGCATCGGGGTCAGGAAGCTGGTGGAGTTGCTTAAAGAGGGCTTGGCTATGGGACAGGGTGGAAAGGATGGAGTAGAGACAGGCAGCCATAGTTTGAGCCTCAGTTTCCTCATCTCTGAAATGAGATTGTTGAAGGATCAGCAGTATTCTGGGGAAAATACTTAAAGACAGGACTAAGGCATAACATGCTCTCAGGTCATTGGCAGCTGCTTTTGTTGTTGAGGAAGCCATTAGTATCCCAGCTTCCTGAGGAGTGGTCCCCACTGGGGGCCGATTGAGCTAGCTGACAGGACATTCCCCACCATTGGTCATGCTTCCTGCCTCTAGTCACCCTCACTCTCCTTCTTATCCCTTAATAAATGGCTCTTTCATTTCTTCCTCTTCCCCTCCCCACCCTGCCTTCATTTTCCTTCTTTTCTGTTCCCGATGTTGATAAAAACACCTGCTTTAGGAAAGCAGCAGGGTTGATTGGATATAGAGTATCCAGACTCTGGAAGCAGACAGGCAGTTTGGTTGGGTCTGAATCCTGACTTAGGCCCATGCTTATTGTGTGTTGCTGGGCAAATTACTACATCTTTCTGAACCACTAGTTCATTTTCTATAAAATGGGGTTATAATGCCCATTTTATAGTGCTATTAGGAGAAATAATTAATTAGGCACTCAACAAATGCCTCCCTTCCCTGTCTCCCTCCCTTTCTCCCTTCTTGATTATCACTCTTCCCGGCCTGGCTCCCAGCCCCTCTTGTGACCAGGATGCCCTTTGCCCCTCCTAGGGATCTCTGATCTCCTCTGCAGGTCAAGCCCACCTTGGGAGCTGCTGGTTCAAACCATGTGATCTGTATTTTTTTTTTCTCACTTTAGCAATTATTACACCCCAGCTGACGATGGCATCTTCACACTCCAAACACTGATAAATATTTATGAGGAGGAGAAAAGCTCAGAACTCCTAGGGGAAGTGGGGGAGGGACGTGCCAGGCCCTTCTCTGCAAGACAAGCTCAGACCCATCAGTGGTCTCTTGTAAGGGGGATATGTGTAAAGGGTATGTAAGGGGTATATGTGGGGGATGGCCGACTCCCACTCCCCTGCTTGGAGGAGCGACTGTCGCTGTGAAACTGTGGTCCTCACCCTGCCTTGCCCTGGAGGCCTGCTGGACCTCCTGCCCCTGGGGAAGGATTTGGGCTGTGTGATCCCTCTCGGCAACACGCTGGCCTGCTCCACCGCGCGCTCCGTGTCTTCTCCATCTCTCTCTGCTTGTGACTGTTTATCTCTCCTTTGCTTTGTTTTCTGTTCATTTGTTTTTTCATCTCTCATTCCATGTTTTATTTTCACACCTTCTGGGCCATGTCGCTCTCCTGTATTTTCCTTCCTTTCCCTCCCTCCTCTAACACCTTCTCTCATCCCCTGGGTCTCTGTCTCTTTCACTTTCCTTCTCTCCCTCCCAACATTACTCTGAGCATTTCTGAGGCTCAATGGTGGGGTTTCAGGCTCCCAGACCCAGCTGAAGAGAGAGGGCGGAGGGAGCTGCTGGAGATTGCAATGTGTTCCGGAAGCGTGAGCACTTGGCGGGAGCTGGGGACCACGCCTCTGCCTGACTCTGCATCCAGTGCTCTTGTGTGTAGCCACAGGCAAACCCCCTCCCTTTCCTAGGCCTCAGTTTCTCAGTTGATTCCTTCACTCATTCATTCATTCACCCACTCAACTGATAATTTATTGAGTGCTTGCTACCTGTCATTCATTAACACATTTATTGAATACATACTGTGTGCACCCTCCTAGGTACTTGGGGGATACATCAGTGGTCAGCAGAGACAAAGATGCCAGGCCTCGTGGAGCTGACATGTTAGCAGAGTCGACAGGCATAAATGCAATCAGCAATTATGTAGCAGGTTAGAAAGTGGCAAGTGCTGTGGAAAAAGGGAAAGTAGAGTGAGAGAAGGAATGGGAGTGCCGGCTGGGCATGGGGTGAAGCCCCATCATATAAGTCTGGGTAAGCTGATCAAGAGGGCAGGTGCGGGGCGGGGGGTGTCCCCAGGGAGAGGACTGCTAGAGCAGAGACCCTGAGGCAAGAATCACCGTGGCGTGTTAGAGGAACAGCAAGGAGACTCTGTGGCTGGAGAAGCGAGGAGGAAAAGTGGGAGATGATGCCAGGAAGTCAAGGAAGCAGGGCAGTCGCACAGGCAAGGCTTGTCCTTGGAGCAAGTGATCTGACTTACATCTTGAAAGATTCCCTCCACCTGCTGGTTGAAGAATAGACTAAGGGGGCCGTGACCGGAGCCCTGAAGAGCTGTAATGGCAATAATGGTGGCTTTGGAGGGGGTAGTGATGGAACTGGTGGGATCTTATTATGCTAGGCACTGTTCCAGCTCTCAAGGCTTGGACAGTGCCTGAAAATCGCCCCTTGTCCTCAGTTCTGCTGAGGAATGGCCTGCAAGAGCCTTCCCTGGGGGGGATATGCTAACCCCAAACTTCCTTTTCTTTCTTTCCGCAGGGTGTTCAAGAAGGCAAGCCCAAATGGGAAGGTGAGTGTACAACCGCTGCGCCCTGGCTCCTCCCTACCCCAGACTCCTGTTCTCTCTTGAACGTGTCTACTGACCATGCAGGACTCCGCACACCTCCTTCTGAGGTCCTTAGGAAGCCCTGACCACAGATGGTGGGGTCCTCTCAGGAGAGTTTTTGTCCTAGGGGACAGAGCATGGTACAGCTCCCTTGGACTTTAGGAGCCTCTGCTCAGGTAAAGGAAATGCAGCCTATCACAGAGAGGCTTCAGTGTGCGTGCAGTAATTAGATCAATGCCACGGGCCTCAGGGGCACTGCTTGCCCTGGTGTCAGAGGCCTGGGAGCCTCTTTGCTGAACTCTGGCTTCATCTAGTCATTAAGGACAGCTCCCAGAGCCTGTCCTGCTTCCTCTCTTTCCACAGGCCCCAGGCTCCCTCCTGCTTTCCTCTCAGTTCAGCAAATAGATATTACCAACATCATTCATGTCAGGTCCCAGAGGGTGGGTAGGGATGGGGGTAGGGTGTACTCGGATAAGTAAGGCACAGCCTGTGCCACATACAGCCAGATGGGGCAGGCAGACGTGGCACCTGACCATTTCTCAGAGACAGAAGAACCCTACCCCCCATATTAAATAAGTGTGTTCACCACGTGAAAAAAAAAAAGAAAGAAACCGATCATTCCAATGTAAAGTGGCAGGGGCGAGATAAAGGGCTGCCCAGGGCCTGCAGGACACAGCCTGGTGGTCAGGGACAGCTGCCCCTAGGAGGCACGTGTTTTCAGGCAAGGCAGAGTGAAAAGGGGCATTCCGGGCAAGCACTTAAATCCTAGGGAGTGTGTAGGGGGTCATGGCAGTTGTGTCTGAGCGCCAAGAGGGAGCCTGAGGGTGTGGAGGCTGAGGCAAGGAGGCTACAGGCTGGGTCCTAGGGAGTCCTGTGGCAGGCTTAGGAGCTTGGGCTTCTGGTCTGGGCTGGCAAATGGCACCTCGTGTGCTCCCACAGCAGATATTGCTGAGCCAGGATTCCATCCTAGATTCTTTCTCAGCCCAGGGCCCGAGGCAGCTCGGACCAATCGATCAGAGTTGGCATTTAGAATGAAACCCATTTGTCATCGTACCTCTGGGCACTGAGGAACCATTAAAGGGTTTTCAAATTGGAATAGCATCGTTGGATTTACATTTTAGGATGGCCGATCTGGCTAAGGGGGAGCGTGAGGCTGCAAGCAGCAGACCATGGAGAGGCTGGTGTGCAGTTCAGGCAAGAGTGGCTGTGGGGCCTGAGAGGAGGGGATGGACTGAGAACCGTGAGTGAGTGAGACTCATCGGGATTTAAGAGGATCGTGGAGGAGCAGAAAGTGTCTAGGATGACCCTCTGGATTCTAGCTCAGGGTCTTACTGAAGGCTGGCTACCAAGTTAGGCCCTAGCTCTGGATTTCTCACGGCTCAGAAAACCGGCCCTTACATGACTCGATTTCTGCCGGACTTCACAGAACTCAATGTCCAGGGTGCCACACCACTGTCCCTGCCCTCGATTTCCCTGTCCTCTCGGAGGTTTGCCCAGCACTCGCATTCAACAGACCTCTTTGCCACTGTTGCTGCTCCACCCTTAGTGGTGCTTGGAGCGAAGATAACTCCAGGCCTCTGTCCTCATCTGTCAAATGGGAACAATAGCAACTTCTTCACAGGTGCTTTCAAAATGGTACCAGGGTTTGTCATTCTTAGTATTAGGGCTGGGGCTTGGGTCCAAGACCAGTTAGAATTTCGATGAGGGTTAGGGATGGGTCTAGGAGTTTCAAAGGCAGCTTCCAAGATTTTCTCCAGGTCAGGGACCAGACACTTTTTAGGGGTGTGTTCTCTGGGCCCACAGCTGCTAACGCCCCTGTGCCTTTCCTCCCAGCTCACCGTCTATCTGGGAAAGCGAGACTTCGTGGACCACATCGACCTTGTGGACCCTGTGGGTAAGTTTACAGAAGCCAGGGAGGAAAGGACAGGGGAAGTGGGGCAGGCCAGGCCCCTTGAAGGTGCAGTTTCCAACCCATTGGCCTATTAAGGATAGCAGCAGAGTGGTACAGAGACTGGGGGAAGGGCAGGAACAGGAGGAACCAGCTTTACCAGTACACCAGCACCCCAAGAGCTATTCAGCATGGGTTCACAGAGCACCTACTTCGTGCAAGGCCCTGTGCTGGGCTCTGGAGGGCCTAGAGAGCTCTGGGGCCTTGTCCAGAGTTGATCAAATAACCCACAGTGGGAAATATATTTTTCATCCTAGCATTGAGCTAATTATGTCTTCCCAATGCTTAACTATCCCCATGGTTCCACTTCAAGCTCAGGGGCAAATCCAAGCCCCCTGACCTCATTGACACTTAAAAGTAAGGCCTGGCCCTTCTTCCTCCACCATCCGCCAGGATCTGCCCTCCCAAGCCTCAGAGCCACGATCTTCCTGCTGCCTGCCTTGTTGCTGCCCCTTCGTCATCTAATTGACAACTCTTACTTGCCTTTTAAGGCCTGATTTGCAGCCTTCTTCCCCCGGGGAGCCTTCCCTGACACCCTTGGTTGGGGGAGTGCCCTCACTGGGATGCCCTCTGCACTGATTTTCCACTGAGCCCCTGGTGCCCAGTCACAGAGGGAAAACTCACAGTAAAAAGAGGGAAGATGCATGGCAGGCTTTGGGGATGGGTGGACACTCCCCTGACTTGCTGTCCTTGGACATGCCCAGCTTTGAGATAGGACCAAGAGCCCTCGGGGGACTCACTTCCAGACATGGTCTCTGAGATTCCCTGAGAGGTCAGCTGTGGAGGACAGTATGGGGTGGGGAGTGTTTGGGTGTGGGCAGAGAGAGGATTTTGTTTATTCAATGCATATGGCTGAGTTGAGTTTGGCCAGAGATGACTGGGGATGTCAGGCAAGGGGGTGACTCTAAGCCAGTATTTCTAGCCTCCTGGATTCTAGGCAGGGAAAATGTCCTTTGTGTCTGGTTGGACTCTACTCCCAAGGCCAAGCCTTGGGACATTCTCTGTGGTGTCACGTGTGCCAGGCACTGCCTAACACTTTATACATATTAACTCATTCAGTCCTCACAGGAGCCTTATGACGTAGTTACTACAGGCTCACAACCCCTGACCTGCAAATCCCAAATCCAAAAAGCTTTGAAAGCCTAAAATTGTTCATAAGTTTAACACAGGATTTATTTAGTAGCACACCTGATCTGAACGGGTAGTAGGCTATTTATGCCTTGATTAGCCTCTTAGAGAAAATATTCACATTTCCCGGTAGAGATATCAATGGGTTTCATCACAGGGTGCTGCCCAGACCCTGCAGTGTGATACAGAATATACGGAAGAGGTACTGTATAGCCTTTCTATAATTCAAAACTTTTAAATTCCAAAGTATACCTAATAATAGGGGTTTTGGACCCATATTATTATTCTTATTAACAGATGAAGAAACAGAGAAGTTAAGTAACCTGCCTAAAGTCACCAGCTGAGTCCATAAGGCCAGCCTGGGGCTGGGGGGTGGGGTATGGTGGTACCATCTGCTCTGTGCAAGCCTCCCCATTCCTCTCCTGGTGCTTTTGGACAGAGAGATGGTTGGGTTTGGGTTTGGCTTGGTGCTTGGGGCTTAGGAGTTTGACAGGTCAGATTGGGAGCATCTGCTCAACTCTTTGTCCTTCCTCCAGATGGTGTGGTCCTGGTGGATCCTGAGTATCTCAAGGAGAGGAGAGGTGAGGCCCCCCACCCCCCAGCCTGTCCTGGGGCCTCCTCTTCCCCCTCCAGCCTCCATCCAGCCTAGGACCTCCCTGACCCCCAGGCAGGACAGCTGCCAATCTTATTGCCTCTCCCTGCCCATCCCCACTGGTTTTACTCCCATAACCCCAACTGCACATCAGACCCGGTGCCCTGGCCTCCTCCGGCCTGGGGCAGCCCTGCTGCCCATGACCACTTGGGAGAACCATTTCAATGCCCTGAGCACTTTCACATCAATATGTCATGACGATCCCAAGACTGGGTAGCAAACAAGGCAGAAGTGAGAGTCTCGTTTTACAGAAGAGAAAATTGATTGCTGAGAGGTGAAGGGATTGCCCAAGGTCAGCAGGGAGACAGGAGGCAGGGGTCGGGCTGGGACAAGGCCTCGTGCCTTCCAGACACCGTCCGGCACTTGTTTCCCTTTCTCTCTGCTCTCTCCAACCATGCTTCTTCTCCAGGCCCGCTCCCCAGTCCTGCCACCCTACTCCAGCTCCCACCAACCCTGTCCCCTTCTCACATCCTCTGGGCTGGAGTATAGGGTGGAAGACAGAAATGATCCAGCAGTCAGCCCCACCTCCTCCTAGGGGCCAGGCTGGGGGTCGGGGGGCTCTTCTAGGTACCTAATATCTCTGTCCGAAGGGCAGTGCAGCCCTCCCCACGGGAACTTTGGGACAGACCCGTGGCTTCCAGTTGAACCAATCTCAAGTCTACAGCTTGTGCTCTGGGGGGCTTGTTTGCTGCCCTCCCAGGCCCTTCCTCAGTGCCCACTGCTTCCACAGTCTATGTGACACTGACCTGCGCCTTCCGCTATGGTCGAGAGGACCTGGATGTCCTGGGCCTGACCTTTCGCAAGGACCTGTTTGTGGCCAACGTGCAGTCCTTCCCACCGGCCCCCGAGGACAAGAAGCCCCTGACACGGCTGCAGGAACGCCTCATCAAGAAGCTGGGCGAGCACGCCTACCCTTTCACCTTTGAGGTCAGGGACTGCTGGCCCCTGGGACCCCATTCCGGAAGCACCACCTATAGGAAGCCCTCTGGGCAGGCACATGGGGGCAGCTGGGGCAGCAGCTAAACGTCACCCAGTTTCCCAATGTAGGTTGAAACCCGGGGCATTGTCACTTACGCTGCCTGGTAAGTGTCTCTTCTCTGGCTTATGCCAGGGATGTCACCCTTACCTCTGAGCCACTCTTCAGACCCTCCTGAGTCCAGGTCCTTGGTGGGAGAAAGGGGGATCCAGGGGTCTGCAGAGAAAGAAGGAGCCCTTTCCTGTTCCTGGGTCACTGTGAGGCTGTCTCCTCCCTCAGACTGGCTGTCCACTTGTCTGGCTTCAGCCCAGCTTACAAATGAGGGGTGGCGAGTAGATTTCCCTGCTTTGCCACCTTTCCATTTGGAGACTCCAAGATTCTGGGTTTTAAAATGTCCTGTTTCTCAGACTCTGAGTCAGTGAGATCCCCTTGCAATCTGGGAGGGTTAGAGAAGGGGAGAGGGTACGGATATCCTCTCCCTTGTGGGTGTACGGGTTTCTTATAGGGGCATTTAAACCCTCCAATTAAAACGCAAATTGATTACCCCACAGTTCTGGAGTTCAGAAGCAAAAAACAGGTCTCATGGGGCTAAAACCAGGGTGCCGGCAGGGCTGCGTTCTTTCTGAGGGCTCTCGGGGAAAATTTGTGTCCTTGCCTTTTTCAGCTCCTAGAGACCACTCACATTCCTTGACTCGCAGCCTACCCCCGAACCCCCATCTTCAAAGTCAGCAATGGCCTGGGAGTCTTTCTCATATCCCATCACTCTGACGCTGACTCTTCTGCTTTTTGCTTTCACTGTTAAGGACCCTTGTGATTATATCTGGCCCTTCTGGATCATCCAGGATAATCTCCTCATCACAACTGTAAAGTCTCTAATCACACCTGCAAAGCCCCTTTTGGCCTGTAAGGTAGCATAGTCACAGGTTTTCGAGATTAGGATGTGAAGATCTTTGCGGGGGTGGGGAGGGAGCATTATTCCATCCACAACAGTAGACATCATGGAAAGGTCTTTTTCAACTGTTGTTTTGTGAGGATTGGGCTAGGCTAAACCCTTTAGGAAAATATTGAAGTCCTTGGCTTTAGTAGAGGGGCCTGTGGGGCATGGCTTTGGCATGGTCTGATGGGGGAGACATAGTCTGTCCTCTGGAGCCCTCCGTCTGATGGAAGAGATGTGCCTGTCCTTAGGGGCCCCTGATCTGATGAATGTGGGGATGGTGGGGTGGGATATAAGGGCAGGTTTGTGGTGAACGTGACAGGAGGCTTATTCTGTCTGTCCTCTTTAACAGATCCCTCCAAACCTTCCATGCTCTGTGACATTGCAGCCGGGGCCTGAAGACACGGGGAAGGTGAGTCACTCCAAAGGGAACATCTTTCTGAATGCAGGACAGTTGTGTCCCCAGGTCCCTGGCTTTCTCTCTAGGAGATGATGGAACCCTCCCCGTAGAAGCCTCCTTGTGTCTAGGCCAGTCCAATCCCACCTAAGATAAGCAGTCTCTTCTCAGACAGGAAGCAGATACGGTGGCATCTTCACCCCACATTTCAGTTATGTGTCAAGGTGCCAGGCTCTCCTGAGTCACTCTCGCTGACCTTGGTGTTGGCTGCAACACGACCAAAATGTTCTCTGGACTACCATCTAGCCTCACACTTGGTGTGGAAATGCAATCATCTCACAGGTGGGGAAACCGAGACTCAGAGAGAGGTGACACCACCAGCATCACAGGCCTCAGATCTCTGAGCCCCAGTTTTCTTATTCGTAAAATGGAGATAATAGAACGTGCCTCCTTGTTTGGTGGGGAGGATGGAGTGAGATGCTGAAGCATCGCACCAGTTCAGGGTATGCACCTGGGAGATCCTTCCAAACGGGGCTGCTGAGTCACCTGTTGCTATGTCTTGGTGGCTGCCTTGGTGAGGATGGTCACCCAGATAAGGCAGGAGTCTGGAGCGTGGAGCCCGGTTAGGGTGGTTTTGGATGCCCCATGTTGGGGGAGCTGGGGAGCAACTCTGTGGGACAGTCAGATGGGAGAGGCAGCTGTAGAAGGAGGCAGCACAGCCCTGAGGCCTAGCACGGGGCTCCTGAGTCAGACTGAGAGGCTCTCAGGCAGCGGGAGCTTGGGGTTCCCTCCAGCATCCTCATTTGTAAAACGAAAGAGTGGCTGACCATGGTCTTGGGATCCTGCCCACTCCAAGGCTCTGTGGTCAGTGACCCCTTCCCCACAGGCCTGTGGTGTGGACTATGAAGTCAAAGCCTTCTGTGCGGAGAACCTGGAGGAAAAGATCCACAAGCGGTGAGAAGGGTGCAGCTTCCAGCCTGGGTGTGGGCTGCCTGCTGACAGAGGAAGGGAGACAGGCCAGGCAGAGTCAGAAGAAGAGATAAATAACAAACCTGGAAGCGTTCCAGTGGGGAGGCCCACAATCTAGCCTTGGGAGCTCTGAGAAGGGCACTCTGGAAGTCTGGCAGGTCGTGGAGGGCTTCCTGGGGGAGGTGGTTCAATTGCCCTGGCTCAGGCCTCAGCATTTTTTCCTTTATACCACTGTACCTGCTTCCTGCATCTCCCTGCCTCTGGTTTTGTCCCCTCCAGACTGCATGTCTTTTTGCTTTGTTTGGGGAAAACCCCGAAATTCAGATTGTTTTTAATAGTGACCAAGTTCTTTCCAGGCCATCCTGGACTCCCATTTCCCAGTTCTCCTCCTGAGGGGCCAGCAGCAGCAGGTGGTGAGGAAGGGGGAGGCAGGGATCAATGGAGGTTTCTAAGCAAGGGAGGGACGTAGAGAAAGTGAGCCCACGCAGGAGAGAGTGAGGGGAGTGATCTCCTGGAGAGGCACAGCCCTGGGCAGACAGAGAGCCCAAGCTGGAAGCCCAAAACAACTGGCCCTGACTCCTGGGGTGAAGTACTCAGCCCCCCTCTCATGCTTGCCTCAGAGTACAACTCAAACGCACCCTGCCTGGAACAGGTCCTACAGGAGATTGACTGAGGGCACCGCTACTTCTTAAGAAGTGGGCTGAGTTTGCCACCTGGTGGCTATAGCATGTACTTCGGGCATCTCTCTCTCCAACCTGGACTGCTCATGTGTATGGGGAGATTGGACCCCTCGCCCTTGCTTCTCTGTCCCCTTTTTCTTCTTAAAGCCCAAGACCAGGAGAAAGGAGGGGGTTGTAGGGGTGGAGCTTGATCAGAGCAAGGAAGAGGAGCAACACCGAGAGCCACAACCTTCACCTCTTCACCAATGGGATATTTTAAGTCCATACCAGAATTTCTACTAATAATGATATAGCAACAATTATTTATCGAGTACACTGTAAGCGCTGGACACTATGCAAAGTGATGGCCATGTGTGAGCTAATTGAATCCCCATAACTACCCTAAGAAGTTGGTCCTGCCACCGTGACCGTTTTACAGATGAGGACCCGAGACACAGAGGGGAGAACTAGGCCTTTAACCCTGGCTGTCTGGTTCCAGGGAATGGAGGCGACTCATCTAAGCGATGAGGATGCCAGCACACCCAGCATGCCACAGAGACTGCCTCGCTGGGTCCCCGTCTTACAATCCTTGTGTCCTTGTTTCCTCCCTGAGCACCCCCATCACCTTCATTAAGCCCCATCTCATCTCTGGGTTTCATCTCTCACTGAGTCTTTATCCTCTTCATTGGCCTTCATCCCCCTGACCAAATCTATGCCCCTTCACTGAACCTGTCACCTCTCCAATTCCCCATTTCTTCATGGGGCTCTTGTCCCCTCTGCATATTTTTACTTAATGGATATTTAGCAAGCATTTGTTAGGTGGCAGGCACTGTCACGGGTGCTGGGAATACAGCAATGAACAATTTAGACAAAAATTTCTGTCCTCAAGGAGCTTACAATGTCAGGTGACACAAGAGATGCAGGAAGTAAAGACTTAGTCCCTTTCTTACCATCCTGCTGGCCACCAAGACACAGACCCACGTGAAGTGCTGCCATGGAGTGGTTCAGCTCTGATGCTGTGGGAGTTCAGACCAGGAGAGGATCCAAGTAGGCAGACCCAGGAAGGTTTCCTGGAAGAGGAGGCATGTAGCTGGGCCTTGAAGAAGGAAGCAAATGAGGACAGAAGCACTAGGAGGAGGGTTTTATAGGAAGGGGGCCCAATGCAAGTGAAGCCTTGGAGATAAGACTAGGTAGACCATCAAAGATGGCAGTGAGGAAGTGAGGGTAGCTGGGGACAGAATGGGAGAGGATAGAGTTGGGCCAGTTGGAGACAAGGCCCCTATGCCAACCTCTGCAATTTATACTAGATTCTAAGGCCATGGGGAGCCGTGGCAGTCCCTTGAGCAGGGGAGGGTTGTAAGGATTGCAAGGAAAGAGGATGGAGGCAGGTGACTCTAGTCATCTTCCCTTCTGCCCATCTCCATTAGGAATTCTGTGCGCCTGGTTATCAGGAAGGTTCAGTATGCCCCAGAGAGGCCTGGCCCCCAGCCCACAGCTGAGACTACCAGGCAGTTCCTGATGTCAGACAAGCCTCTGCATCTAGAGGCCTCCCTGGATAAGGAGGTAAGAGGCTTGGACTTGGTGGGGGCGGGGGGCGGGGGCTGCTCAACCCGGGCAGGGACCTCAGATCCCAGCTCTCTCATGGCCTCAGGATTTCTTGGGTAGGAGCTTCTGCCCCCAGCCCTAGAACCACAGAGCTCAGGAGACCTGAGCTTCTCTTGGAGGATTCAGGGAAGCCTCTTGGGACCTAAAGGCATAGCAGAGGCAGACATGAGCCCAAAGGATGAGACCGACTTCAGAAGTCAGTATGGCTCCTGAAGGGTCCTGAGTTCTCGCCATCTCCCTGCACCCTCATCCCCTCTTGAGCTGTGGACACTCTTCCTTCCTCTCAGGAGACAGCTGAAGGCAAGTGCTTGGGGCAAGATGCGAGTTGAGGCCCTTCAGTGAAGATTCAAAGCTGGTTCCCTCAGTGAGGCAGCCAGCCCTTTCCCACCTCTCTCCTGCTCCTTCTAGACCCTCCTGTATCTAAAACTCCAGGCAGCTAGAGCTGGCAAAGACTCGATATGTCACTTAATCCAACTTCCCTATGTACAGAGGGGAAAAGTGAGGCTTAGGTAACCTGTCCAAGGCCACACCACTCTCATCCTCATTATCATTGTTATTATTATTGTTATCACTATTTCCAGTGACCATGCCAGGACTAGAGCCCAGGAATATCACCTTCTAATTCAATTATCTTTCAAGGTCCCCCAGAGGAACTGAAGTCTAACATACCTGGTGGCTTAGCATCAGTGGGAAGTGGCTGATGATCTTGGGGCCAGTGTCAGAGTGGCCAAGGTCTGGGGAATCCCACGAGATGCATGTGAGGCCTCTTCTCTTGCCTCCTCTCTAGAGCTTTGGTATCTTTCCATCCAACCCTTGTCCCTTCTTACACCTCCCAGATCTATTACCACGGAGAACCCATCAGCGTCAATGTTCATGTCACCAACAACACCAACAAGACAGTGAAGAAGATCAAGATCTCGGGTACCCGGGGAAGAGGCCAGACCAGGGGGTGGGCAAGAAGGAATCCTCCCAAGAATAGGGAGTAGCTGAAGGCTCTCTCCTTGTTAACAACCTTGTAAATAAACTACTGGCCTGCAGGGGGAAGCCCAGGGCCTGCTCTAAACCAAAGGGCAAGGCTTTTGAGGCTGGTAATACAGGCTGCTTATTGGCCAGGTAATGAGTTTACTCACCTCCTCTGACATTGCCTGGGTTGCCTGGGCAAAGCTGTCCTTGAGGGAAAGATTTTTGATTATGGAAGGGAATGAGTGTGTTTGGGCTGCCCTTTAAGTGGAAGATGGGGGTGGTCTCCTGCAGAAGCACCCAGTGGACTCTGGCCGTTGCCTGGGGCTGAACTGCCCCAACTCGGGAGAGCCAGGAGTGCCTGGGAGCTGCACCCGTGGCTCACACCACCTTGTTTCCCATTTCCTCCCCAGTGCGCCAGTATGCGGACATCTGCCTTTTCAACACAGCCCAGTACAAGTGCCCCGTGGCCATGGAAGAGGCTGAGTAAGTGAGCACAAATCCAGCCTTGGGCGTGTGGGATTGAATGGAGAAAAGAAAGAGCCCAGGTCCAGTTGCAGGCCCATATGGCTCTTCTTCACCTGGAAGGGGTGGGCCTCAGACTTCCTCGCCACTTGCAGTGGATAATCCTGAACAGTCTTCTAGAAAACATCCACTTGATTTAGCGGCAAGACAAGGCATGCTACATTCAAGGAAAAAAAAAAAACAAACCATTAATATCAGAATGACAAAATAAGAGCTAATGAACCCAAGGGTACTGGGGTCACAATTACACCGCATCAGAAACCTAGATTAAAGGAAGATACTTTGCTCTGAGCTTCCTGGCAGCCAAGGCGAAAAGGAACGCAGCTTTTCTTGTCTGATAAAGGAATAATCCAGCTCATTAGGTAAAAGGGGTTGTATGGGAGGGCAGACAATAATTTTTTTAAAAATCTGGGTTTGAGGAGAGTTACTATGATTGAGCATGGAACTTTGTCCCAAACTTGTTAGCAGCTAACGCAAGAGGAGAGATCTCAAGTGAAATATGTTTTCTCACCTAAAGGAAGTAGATGCTCCTACTATAAAACACGCCTATTTTTTCTCCTGGCCCTGCAAATAATTTTGGGGGGCAGTTGCATTTCACTTAATTTTTCTGTAAGTGTGTCCATTTACATGTAATAGCAGTGAGTATTTTTGCAACTTAAAAACATTTTTTAAATGTTACTATGTGGTCTTTGAGATGTTCTGGCTGGGCTGCGGTTGGCTCTGGGTGGGGGCAGGGGCATGTCTACACCTGCCTCCCTTCCTCTCAGTGACACAGTGGCACCCAGCTCAACGTTCTGCAAGGTCTATACGTTGACCCCCTTCCTGGCCAACAATCGAGAGAAGCGGGGCCTCGCCCTGGATGGGAAGCTCAAGCACGAAGACACGAATTTGGCTTCCAGCACCCTGTGAGGACCTGCCCTCCCTGGTCCCAGGCTCTTGGATGCTCACCTGGCCCCCAGTGGATCCACACCCACCTTGGTCCCACCACTGCCAGCACAAGGCCTGGGTTACCCTCTTCCCAGGTGTTGTCCAGGGCCCATCCTCAGGAGGTTGAATTGCCCGGAAATTTACCTTTACTCCCACTGCTATCCAGGGGTGACCTAGAGAACAAGATGGACCCCTAGACCCAGCTTCCTTAGTCAGTGCTGGGCTCTGCTGTCAGATGTGAGAGTGTACCTCAAAGGCACCCCGGGGATCCCAGAGACATATGATCCTTCCTTCTCCATGGTCATCACTGACTCTCTGAAAAGACCTGGGGGTATGGGGAACTGTCTTGCCTTTCCCACTGGAATCTGGCCCTTCAGTGGGGCTCAGGCCTGCCTCTGCAGCACCCCTGCTCAGGACTCCCAACATGCACCCTGTGCTCCAGCCCTAACAATGTTTCACCACCCTCTGCACATGGTGGCCACTCACGTCCGAGCATTTGCCCTCTCCTTCCACCGTGGCTCAAATCTTACTTGTCTCCAAGACCCGGTTGAAGACCTGCAGGGTCATCATTGATACTCTGGCCCCTCCCCTGCCACTGACTCCCCAAATCCCTGTCTGGCTCTTTGTGCCCCATGGGTTGCTGAGCAATGAGAGAAGCAGAGTCCATTCATTGGAGAGCAGGAGGAGCCTGCTGCCCCTCTCAGCACCGTGGGGACTCAGGCCCAGGGAAGAATGGGGCTTCCCAGGGCTGCACAGCCTGATATGGAACCCAGGGCTCAGGGCTCCCGCCCCCTCAGGGCAGAGCTTACTGTTCTTACACACTGCTCCCTGTTTGCTCATGGCTGAACGGCCCAGGAGAGGGATGGATGGCCCCTGCCCCCTCACCGCACCTCACCCCAGCCATGTCTCATCCACCCAGTGAGCTCCCGTGAACCAGCTCCCCTATGTCGCCTTGCAGGTTGAGGGAAGGAGCCAACAGAGAGATCCTGGGCATCATTGTTTCCTACAAAGTGAAAGTGAAGCTGGTGGTGTCGCGGGGTGGGTAAGTGCTCCAGCCTGGCCCAGGACCCCCGAAGTGCTGAGGGGTTGCCGCTGACCACTCACAGCCCGCTGCCCCGTTCTATTTGCCGGACCTTTAGCTGCATCCTCCTTGAGGGTGAACCAAGCTTGAGGACTGCCTGTTCCTGCTCTTCTTCCTTCCTGCTTCTTTCTCCTCCTCTGTGCCCTTCCCCTCTCCAGTTTCACAGGCCTTCAGCCCCACCTTGCCCATCTCATCTCTCCATCCTCCTCCCCCTTCTCTTCCCTCTCCTCGCTCTGGGAACATGGGTGGGGAGACTTCCTCAGAGTCTAAGCTGTGGGGTCTCCAGGGTGTTCTGTGCCCCTCATCACAACTTGGGGTACAGCAGCAACCCCCACTTATACTCATGCTGATCTGCTAGGGAAATGGCTAAAGGGGCTGAGAATCCCATAGTTGGATTGGGGATGTTCTGACTCTCCTATTCTACAGATGGGAAAACAGAGGCCCAAACAGTTCCCCAAACATTTCCTGCAATCTCCCCTAATCTCAGTTATGGGCTGGGTACTGAGTCTGGTGGAGGGAGGCCCACAAAGAACTATTTCCCCGCACATATTGAGCCTACATGTTATAAACCTGGAATTAAGAATTCTAATTCATCACAGGTCTTTTTTTTCCTAATTCATAAATTTCTGCGAAAAGATTGTAAAGCTAATAACATTAGACATTGAGTCCCCTTTATTATAAGAATAATGCCTCATGCAGGGGGCAGCCTGTAATACTGACCACATATTATAGGACATCTCAGAATTGCAAATCCCAAGTCTCATGTCCTGTGATTCTTGCAGGACCCACGGTCTGCCTCAGGCTGCTTCCTTGAGAACTCCTTGGTGAAACCTAAATTGCTTCCTTCTGTCATTAGTTGGGCCTCCCCAGGGCAGGCAGCACAGGGTTAGTTTTATGTCTCCTCTGCAGATGAGGATCCTGGGGCTCAGCGAGGCCTTGCAGGAGGTATGGCTGAGCCAGGCCTGGATCTCAGATCCCCTGGCAGGGCTAATGCCATGTCCATGTGTCCCTGAATGAGCAGTTACAGCTGTGCAGGGGGTGGGTGGATGGGTAGGTGTCCCAGGGTCTTTTCTACCCCAACAGGCAGCAGAGGTGGTGAATGAACATGCTTTCTGTTTTCTTCCTTTCTGAACTCTCTTCTGACCACTTCTCCTGCCTCCTCTGACCTACCCAGCCTGTTGGGAGATCTTGCGTCCAGGTAAAGTTTCTCCCTTCTACCCGACTGACACAACTTCCAGAACTGCAGGGCACTGGGTTGGAAAGAATCTTAGCAGTCACTTTCAATTGCCAAGCTCACGCATGAGGTGGGACTAGAAGGGACCAGGGATACATAGTTTCTCCTTTAAAAACCTCACCCTGCTCTTGCATCCCACTCAAGCGACAAGTACCTTTGCAGATAGCAAAGCCAGCTCCAATGACCTGGAGTGGTTCCCATTCAGTCTGAATTACAGAATGTTTTGGAGAAACGCAGGCTTCATGGCTTTCAAACTTCTGCACTAATGAGAATTAACTGCTGGCTGAGTGTTGCTAAGGAGAAGTCCTGTGGAGATCTGCTTTTGTAGACATGATTCCTATGTTGTCCGTTGGAACCAAGTACATTCTAAAAGTGAACGTTTCCCAAATGCAATGGTTTTGCCTCCTCCTGTCATAAGATGGCATATCGCTCATCCCAAGAAATCTTAGTCCCTTTGAAGAGGTGAAATTAATTCAATTCAGTTCAGTTCAATTTAATTCAGTAAAGATTTCCTGAGCTTGCAAACTCAGTCTTCCACCAGCCTTCGTTCTGAGAGCTCACTGAGAACCAAGGGGAGAGGAGGCTCTGTCAGGAGCACTGGCTGGTGGCAGTACCTCCCCGGTTCTTCTCTACCACCCCCTCCCTTTACCCCCACACAGCTTCAAGCCTCTATGCACAGTGTACACAGCCCTGAAGCATGGGTCCCATCCAAGTTGAGCCACCAGTGCCCAAGGTGTATACACACTGTCCTTGGCATTCTTTTCCCACTCCTATGCCTCCTCCCAGCTTGTAAGAATCCAAGGATCCTTCTCAGGAAAGAGAGGGTTTTCATTTCATTTTGGAGCCGGGAGAATAGGTCCCCCTAGTTCAACTCCTAGAGAGACTGAGGCTCAGAGAATGGCAGAACTGGGTCTGAGGCCAGATTTCCTACCTCTCAGCCCAGAGCTCTGACCATAAAAGCCTCCCCAGCCCTCAAATTGACAGGGCATTAAGTCTCACAGCTTGAGACTCGGCTCAAAGCTCACTGGGTCTGGGTCTTCGTTTCAGTGATGTGGCCGTGGAACTGCCCTTCACCCTAATGCACCCCAAGCCCAAAGAAGAACCCCCACATCGGGAAGGTAAGCAGGAACTTTGGGTCACTAGGGTGGGAGGTTTCCAGATAGCTGACCCCTTTCTCCACGAGCTGCCATGTTTCTCCATCACTCCACCTCCCTCTAGGTCAGCCCTCAGCCCAGGGTCACCCATCTTCCCCAGCTCCCCAGGATCTTTTGTGAGGTCCACACTCCTATTTTCATCTGACTCCCCAGGAGATAGAGAGGATTGGCTCTGCTCCATGGGGGTGAGGGGAGAAGCTGGGAATGGAGGGTGGGGTGCCTACTGGCCATGCTTGGAACCCTCGTCTTGCATCCAAGTGTAGGGGAAGAGGCTACGAGGGTGAGATGGCCTCTCGACACACCACCCCCATACTTCATTAAGTCTGAGACTGTTTCAGTTGAAAGAGATATTATAGTATGACCACAAAGAAAAATGTTCCCACAATTAAACTATGCAATGCCATCGATTATAAAAATACCCCAAGTTCAGAGATGTGAAAACGGGAGGGGGTGTGGAGGGGAGAAATGGTTGTTTTAGAGCCAGTGAAAGTCATGCATACAAGAAATGAATCTTAAGTCATATTGGAGACATGCCAAAAGGAGCAGGGCCCAGAGAATTTTCTGCTCTCTTGGGGCTGCAGTGGGCCTCTGGGGGCCCTCCCTGGGCCATCCTCTCCACCTTTAGGATGGTTTGGGGTGTTTCTGAGACCAAACCAGCCCCTCTTCCCCACTCCCTTCTTACTTTGCCCTCCCTATCTTAGCTTGATTGTTCAGGGCAGGGACCTGTACTCTCATACCCACTCACTGCTAACCCATGGGCGCCTGCCCACGCCCTGTGTTTAGTTCCAGAGAACGAGGCGCCCGTAGATACCAATCTCATAGAACTTGACACAAAGTAAGCGGAACCCTGCCTGCAGATGTCTGGGGGGCGGGCCTCGGGCAGTGGGCGGGGTGACGGGGTCATTTGCATATATGCTTATTAACCCCTGAGGAGCAGCTGGTCTAACCCCGTCTGCTGAGAGCCACCTCTGCCCGCCTCTTCAGCAACCCGCTTGCCTGCATGTGACTTGAAGGACCCTCCGTGCCTGTTCCTCTTCCTCCTGCCTTGGTGGGGTCTGTCTTCCTCCCTCGTCCTTGCACGTCCGTCGGTCAGTCCGTTCGTCCATCCACAGCGCCTGCTCAGCTCACACAGGGCTGGTTCGTGGACCTGGGCTGGGGCTCTTCTGCCTCGCACGCAGCCAACCAGTGGAATCAGGCTGTGGGGTGGGGAAGGTTCTGGGGATCGTATTGCTTCTGACTTCTGAGGACCAATGCGGATTTCCCTGCAGTCAAAGGCCATCGCATCACTGGAAAGTGGCCAGAGGGGCAGGACCTGGGCCGACATCACGAACCACCTCCAGGGCCAAGCAGCTTTCTTGTTCCAGCTCCAAATCCACCCTTCCCTTGTCCCCTGGGAGAAATATGGGATGTGGGGCCTCAAGTCACCCCATGAGGACACCCTATGCAGCTGGCTGAATTCTGGTGGACAGGGGACTCGGGTGGGACTAAGCAAACATGTTTCATGGTAGAAAGGAACTCACTCTTCTTGGAGGTAGTTCCAAATCCTGAAACCCCACTCAGGCACCCCTTTTTCCACCAGTCCCTCCTCTGCTTCCCTATTTAGATTTGCCACCCCCAGACCTCTTTCTGTCCAGGATCCCTCAGGGTAGAATGTGAGCTGATACTTCCCTAAAGAAAGTATCTTTATAGTTTTCTCTTCTGTAAGGCAAGCCCATTCTTTCCTGTGCACAAACATGCTTCCTGAGGGTAGTTCTTTGGTTCAGTGGGTGGGGTTTCTTGGGCCTGTTCTTGTAGGATTCAGGGTATGTTGCGAAACTACTGGTAGCCTGGCCTCTCACAGCGAGAATAAGTTCTTCCTCAGGCTCTAGCCCAGCCACACTGCTCTCCGCCACCCCAACTCCTCAAGAACTGGGTTACCTTCCAGCCCTTAGGCATGAAAGGCAAACTCATGCCTCTCTCTGGTATTTCCACAACTGGCCGGAGGCCATATATGAACAGTCCACTGTGACTGGTGGATATCCAGATGTGCCAGCCTGGCAGGCCTTTCTGCCCAAGGTCAGCCCTGGAGGCCAGCCTGAGTCCCATCCAGCTGGGCCAGCCCTCTGACCTCTCTGGATAAGCCTACTCTTCCTGCCCTGCAAACACACCCCGTTTTCCTTGTCTTTCCCACCAGTGATGATGACATTGTGTTTGAGGACTTTGCCCGTCAGAGACTGAAAGGCATGAAGGACGACAAGGAAGAGGAGGAGGATGGTACCGGCTCTCCACAGCTCAACGACAGATAGACTGGGGCCGGCCCTCCCCCTGGGCAGCTCCAGGTCCACTTTCCTGCACTAAGTTGCTTATTCGTCTTCTTCCTATTCTGGTCCCCCTCCCCTTTGTTCTTCCAGTTTCTATCAGGGGGGCCCAGTGGTCTTCCAGGTCATGGTGGTGAACCTCTGGCCTCGGGATGGGCCCCACATCACCATGCCAACCCC